CCCCGCCAGTTTACCCCCCCCCCCCCCCCCCCCACACACACACACACACACACACACACATACACACAGACAAACGTGCAGTGTGCAGAAGAACACACTTCCCGCCAGCCTGCTTCTGTGATGACACAGTCTCGTCAAGGCTTTAAATTCAAGAACCCAGAGGGAAAAATACAGCTTGCAGCATGCAGGACGCAAGCTGACACTTAATTAGGTAAACCTACACAATCAAATTAGATCCAATGAAACAGAAAAAAACAAACAAAAAAAATGTCTCATTAATTATACAAATAATACTCCATTTTGATTGAAACCATCAGACTATATGAACTAATTTTGTTATTATGAACTACTGCATCAAAGGCATTTTCATTGAATCAGTTGTTTCGGCTACTTAATTAGCTATGTGACTAAATTACAAATACAGTGTGAATCTTAAAATCGAGTCTGTGCTCTACTTTGTCCCATTCTAGGCATCTTTAAATAGGCAGATTTTATTATTATTATTTTTTTTACACTTACACTGAATCAGATTTGGGTAAATTCAGGTGTACCTAATGTTAAAGCCAGTGAGTGTGAATACTGCGGTGAGTGGCTGGGGGTGTTTATTTCTTCAACTGCAGATGGAAGAAGTCATTAGGAACCTACCCACTCAACCATTTTCTCAAACGCTGGTTGGCCAGTCCAAGCTGACTTTGGTCAAGGACCAAGGTTACAATCTGGACTGGTCCCTAATCAATTGTGGGGCACATATTGAATAGCAGCCATTCAATTTCACACCTATGACACATTTACAGTCTTCAATGTACCTAACATGCACGTTTTTAGAATGTGGGATGGATCCAAGGAGTGGGACAGCTACTCTTGAAGGCAATACGGTGCAAAGCAAAGGTTGCAGTTAGACGAAAGAGAGGACCGGTGACTTTGCAGAACAGAAGAAGTCATCAGGAAGGGTAAATTAATTAGTGAGGGGACTGCAAGTCGGCTGACATTTTGCCAAACTCAATTTGGGCTGTCCGCATTGCTTAAAATAAATGCAATAAGGAGGTGCACTGTGATATTTTCTCGATAATATAAACCTACACGTGCTCACTGCTGCTGGTTAACCAAATGCACATTTCTAAAATACAGTAGTGCCTTGCGATATGAGTGACTCGACTTGGAAATACTGAGATACGAGCCATCCTTCAGCTGACTAATTTTTTTTAGAAATGAGTTCTGTCTGGCAGTGAACTCAGTTCATCTCACTTTACAATAAGCAAGAAGTTTGTAACACTTTATCAAAAAAAGAGGCTTCAAGCCATTTCCCCGTTGATTTATTGACAATATAATTTAAATTGTTTGCCTTACTAAAATCCGGTTAGCTAAATGCTGGCAAATAATGCAAAACGCCCACAGAGATGCTAATAGTTACCATCAATACTCCAGCCTTAAGAAGAAACCGAGATTTGAACACAAACTGTGGTGCAATACATGCGCATAGAAAAATATTCACAGGAATATTTTTTTATCTTGCATGAAAAATGACTGAATCATCTCAGAGTCACTTGGAGAAGTATTAGTACGAGGACTTATTCATTTGTGTCGTCATGTTCTTATTATACTGCCTTCCGTTGGTTCAGCCAGGCACACCGGGAGGAACAGTACAATGAATTGGACTGCAGAATTTGCTCATGATGAATAAATTGTATAATTATGTAATATTATAGAGTGCTATTTTTCCTCAGTAAAAACAGACACACACACACACAAAAAAAGTGTGCCCCCCCACCTCCACACCCGCAGTTTTTAATCAGTCACCTGTATCGTCTGGCAAGCGTGACTGCCATTGTTGGTGAGAATGGCGGAGACGGCCTGCAGAATCTTGCCTGTGTCTCCCCAGGAGACCACCAGGCTGAAGAGGCAGGCGCAGGACAGGGCAGTGATGGCCTGTCCCGTCGGGTCGTTGGGGCCCGTGCTTCGGACTGTGGTCTCCAGCAACAGCTGGTAAAGGGACTCTGAAGGATAACATGTATTCAATTGTTAGACATTCAGGAGCAGAAAATGTATTCATGCATTCACTGAATTTGCATGCTCGTTATTTCTCCAACATCAACGAGAACGATTCGTGTGCGCACTCCTCACCCAGCACATCGGGAGGCTCAGTCTGGAATCCCTCGGGCTGTTGCCCCTGCAGCATGTCCAGCAAGGCCTGCAGACTACGCAGGCAGAGCGAGGGGTGCGAGAAGCGCGTCTCCTTTATCAGCTCAAAGACCCCACACAGGCCGATGCCGATGATCTACGGACACAGAAGAAGCAGAGCTGGAAGCTAAACCAGTTATATGTGCATTCTTAAATTTTGAATTAACGAAACTTAAATGCTATATTGGAGTACTTAAAAAGAGGGTTTATTTTAATCCCCTAGATCATCATCCTATAAAAGGAATATCCATCCTCTAGTCACAGTGTACTTTGGCAATCACCATTACGAGTTTGTATAACGCTCCCACTTGCAAAATTACAGAAATGAACAAAGAACGCTCTTTTAGATCCAGTGAAATGCATGCTTGCTCTTTCTCAGTGCTTGTAAGCGACCAAATACAATTGAACTTGAGGACTAACCACAGTCATCTTGTGATAGACTATAAAAATCAGGCAGGAAACAAATTCATGGCTGTGTGATGAGATACACAACATGAACATTGCAAGTGTGTGCAGGCGTAAGATTTAGCGGGCCATAACCAGTAACTGATGACACCATCATTTTTTTTAACAGTATCTCCACCCCCGCCCATGTTAGACTGGGAGCTTCTTGTGAATGGAAATTAAAATCATTCAAAGGGAAATGTGGGCCAGGCAAGGTTGTTAATCCTCCTGATAGGGATTAGAACAGTCTGGAAAGGTGATATCACATCATACAATATAATTCAATGAAAGAAAAAAAAAGGTAAAGGCCTATCGGGATCTCACTGCATAATGATAAACGAGCATCCTTACCTTTGGCAGCTTGATAGCTGGCTCACGGTACTCCTCCTCCTCCTCACTGTCTGAGTCGCCACTCTGCACCGAGCTCCTGGAGGCCAGCGCCAACGAGGCCTCCCTCTGCTGCCACTCCAGCACGCAGTGGCGCACGTTGCAGTAGACGTTGAATGCGGACGGGTTGCTGTGCAACTTGATGTCGGGCACGCAGAGAGCGCCATCGAAACTCTCCGTCTGTGGGAGCCAAAGTGACAAAGGGGAAGAGTCAGGAATAATTCCTGCGAGTTGGCAGTTGTGGCAGTAACACTCTCACTAGGACTGGGCGATGAATTGATGTCACCAATAATTTGAGTTTGTACGAGATACGATCTGTTTGCGGAGTGTGGGGAGTAATTCACACTCACTCTCCCAAAAAATGCTACTCCTATTGATTCAGAGGCTAGAAATATGAAGCAGTGGGTCGTAAAAAAAGCGCCATCAAATAATCATCAGGATGAGCGCACTAAATGGTTGGCTTTCTCCATTGAAGCATTTTTAGCCACAACCCCGAGGGAGGAGGAACCTCAGTGATCGATTGCCACTGCCTCTCATTGCCCTTTGGGCATACCCGTGACAGGAGGTGATGTCATCTGTTTGGGAAGGGGCGGGGGGCAGGAGAGGGGAGTTGGGACGAGGTCATTCATACTCAGCTCAAAGCAACAGGGAGGATAGATGGAGCAAATCCATCTAGCAGGGCGTCTGCTGCTCTCCTGCCTGTAGCACTTTGTGTTCATTAAGAGGACAAGGCTTTGGAAGGCATGTAATGCAAACCCCGTGATATCAATGAGCACACCAAGGAAACAGAAATAGTCCATTGCAGAATTAAACTGGCAGATCATAAAGCCTTCATTAGCAGTAAGCAACTTTGAAGTAAGATTCTTGTCTGTAATATTTTTAACTGTTATGCACTGTAAAAATAAAATCATATTAAAAATAGGGATGTCCCAATATCATTCCCCAAGGCCAAAAAAAAGCACAGTTTCTCCAGAACTCATTTTTCAAAACTCATGGTGCATTGTACTCACTCAGGTTGAGGGGGCCATTGCAACCACATTTTCCATTGTCATTTTGCCCCCGCGCCCCTCCTCAACTAACTTCAACATAGCTCTCTGGCCCAAAGATGCCATACAATGGCTCCAAAACATTACTTATATATTAGGCATGGCTCTAGCCTGAGCAAAAAAAACTACAGACTTTTTCAACAAATAACAGAGGATAGGATCCCACAAAAATATCCATTTATCGACAAACTCGATAATGCCAAGTCTGGGAGTGTGCTTTATGCTAACAAACAAAACATCAGAGCCCCAACTTCATCTGGCTTCCAGATGTTTTATTCTGATTACAGGTCAATGTGTGCATGAGTAAGGTGGCTGAAAAAATGGTTGGGTAGAACTGCCGTGACAATGGCAGCGAGAGTTCTCTGGCAAGCCGAGGTTGATCACAAATCCAACATGACTGCCTGTACACGAGCCACACTTTGATGCCTGCATGCCCGTCTCCATTCTAACTCCATTCTTTAGCCCCTTTCAAACAGCCTTGTGTAAAACTGCTTATTCCCCGCATGTTGTCCTGCTGTGTGAAAGGCACCAGCATCCGGCTGACGTCACAAAAGTGGGATGCCATGTCGCTGTGTCAAAAACATACTGTGGATTTATTTTGCACAATTTGAAGCGGATCCCAGGTGTCAGTAACATGCTTTCTCAAAAATTTTCCATGGATTAAAAAAAATAAAAAAATAAAATCTAGTATTTCTTGACTTGCTTAAATTAGCCTGTTTGAGAGGGTGGCCTTTTGTCATTCAAGTGAGCAATTTAACACCCTGTTGCATATATGGCTGGTCCAATGGCAAGTATGGCTTTTGTTGACGACAAGTATCGGAGGTAGGAGATTGAAAAGGCAAGTCGGCGTCTTCTCCTTGCGTGAGTGTGGAAAAAAAGCAAGTGTTCAAGAAGATAAAAGCATTGTCACGAGTGGATGCAGCCCATCACACACTACACTGTGTTAATGTGGCGCATGGACACAACACAAATTAAAAACCGCTCTGCCAACACATCAACAACTTCAGCTTTAGGGCAGCTGGGCCCTAAAACAGACAACTCCTATTTGCACTAATTCCCAAGGAGGAAATATAGTTTCAAAATGTGAGCAAACAAGCGGTCAGCGAGACTGACCTTGAGGGAAAAGCAAACAGAGCAAACAAAATCAAATGTTCAGTCTGCAAAGTGAGGCAGCAAACTGCCCCACATCCTCCTCAAGAACAGACAGGGTCTCCCCTTTGGATGGAGGAGTTGGAACCAGGCAACTGTTGCCGTAGCGATGCGGAACACATCAGGTCGCTTGGCAACAGGCCGTCACTAACACGGATCAGCCACCGAAGAACCCCCCCACCCCCCTATGGTGCATTTCGTATTGTGCTTCTTGGCACTCTCCTCGCCGCTTTTGAGGATGAGATGGAGTCTGGCGCCAAACATGATTTTTATCAGAAAGACTCCACTTGATTATGTGAATTTTGCGGGATGCGCTTACATAAGCATGACATAATGATGTAACATTGTCATGCATCTCTTACCTTTGTCCTCGATTTGACTTTGGACTTGACCTTTTGTCGCCTTTTCAGCTTCTTCTTGTTCAAGGCTTTCTTCCCTCTGAAAGAAAGAAATCGGCCGTCACAGGGAATATCCATCAAGCAGTGATGGGAAACCTACAGCGGGTGGAACCTATACAGCCCGTGAGAGTATTTGATCCGACCTGCCATGCAATTCTAAAAACAAGTAACACCTCAGATGGATGAAAGAAAGAAAGAAGACCCCCCCAAAAAATTTAACCCACAAATACAGAATGATATGACAATGTATTTTTTCAAACATTTAATGTGGCCCATGGAATAATTTACAAAGCTGAAATGGCCCCTGACATGGTATATTTACAGAAGACTGAGTGTAATCAACACTTGTTAAATGGCTTTATTTACTGTATGCTATTAATATTACAATGTTCTTTACAAGACAGCACACAGGTATGTTTATGTTTTGTAGTACCGATGAGTATAATGGTTTGTGCTTTCATGGCAGCAAAATTTAACATTCACAGAAAACTCTCTGCCTTGGAAACACACGGTAGCTGACGAAAAAGATGTTTTTTGCAAATTAAAAAGACATAACTCAACCCAAAACATCTGTAATTGTCATTTGCACTGTTCGCGCCTCACGGCATCTTCCACATTTTGACAAAGACTCAAAGACGTTGCATTACTTTGGTGCTCTATTTTTGGAAGGTGTCAGAGTCCAAATTTAAAATGGGTTCACACACTAGAATCAAAGAGAATAGTATTCGATATTTTGTTGACATTATATCAGAAGGAGAAAGTAGATGTAGATACACTGGAAAAAAGATAACAATTTTAAATAATTTAATGTTCTTAATGTTAAGTGCACAGCATAATTCTAGCATGGGTGGGGGGGGGCGGCATATGTATCCATTACTCACATAACATTGTAAAAAAACAATCTGAGGGAAATTGATTGTAGTGTAGCAATTGATTGCAAGCGGCAGAGGCACTGTCATTTTACGCAACTTGATGCCTGCTATGCTATTTGTTCGATGGCATGCAACATTAAAAATAAGCTTCCATGGGGGCGGGGGGTTCACAAATATCGATTAATTTATGAATCAGTTTCCCCAGAGGCAACCACAGAATTGTATTCAACTAGATATCCATGATCTCAATAAAATGAAAGTAGTGGTGGTTGTGAAACAAATAACGACTTCACTTTCTGATTGAGTCACACGCTGCCGCCCTTCCAAGTCTGATTTGATAGGTTGCTTCTGCCTTGGTCAATGAAAATGTGAACTTGAGACCATGACTGACAAAGAGGCATCTCGGTATCATGTGTAACAACATTTTAACACATTCTTCCCTCCAGCACAGCAATTTAGAGGGGAGGACAACAGTATTTTGTATCTCCTTCAATCAAAAGGTGAATCTAAATAGTGGGTGGGACAAAATTAGGTACACAATACATTTTACTTTGTATCCTCCCTTGCTTGTTTGTTTAAAGCTATTTTTCTACCCTCCTTATTTTTTGTTGTCGGCTTGAAATTATTTGTACCTGTAAAAAATATAAAGTTACCGGTACAGGTACTGAACAAGTGCACCACTCTGTACAATCGTTCTTGAAACTGTAAGAGCGTTTCATTTTACTGAAGAAAAGTCTCCTCATTGTAAACTGACGTTGTGGGCTGCTGACAACAACACAATAAGAGAGAGTGAGGGATGATGCAGCAATGACCCAGCTCCTCTCCAACCTGACTGACAATAAATGACGTAACTCTATTACACGCTTAGGGCAAAAAAACTGCCACTTAAGATCACCCACCTCCTCCTCCACGCATAAAAAAACAAAAAACATGCAGACACGTTATCGTGTCACTGTCATCAACGTGTACCATCTAAAAAAATACTACTAAGGTCTAACGCTCCCATGTTTTTAGTTGACGTCCAGCTAGCTGGCAAGCTAACTAGCTAGCAATCGAAATAGTGACGCCGTTGGGCCTAAACAGACATTAATGACCACGACTAAGTTATTTAGATGACAAGTGTTATGCTGTGTAGTTTGAAAACCACATTTGCCAATCAACCCCTGCTTGCGCATGCTGGACGGAGCTAACGGGAGCTACACAGATCTCCGACAGGCTAAGGAAGTCCCTGGACCAAATGCTACCTTCGCAAGCTGACCCCACCAGGAGTGCCCCCACCACTCCTCAAAACAGCGCACCTCCTGGATTTATTTATTTATTTGGGGGAGCTAATGCTACAACTGCGTGAACCATGAAAACTAGACTAGCTCGCGAGACATGAATGACATTTCGTTTACGGTCGCCGTGTCCAGCCGGGGATATGACGTTGGGCTATAGTTAGCTCCAAGCTAGCCCCGCGAATGACAAGCCAGCCTCTGCCATGAACAGCCAAATAGCCCCACTCACCTTCCTGGATTTAGTCCTTGCTCTTTATCGTTGATGGCAGTCGTATAAATCCTCCGGTATCTTTCCGCCAGGGCTCTCCCTGAGAGTAAAAGCTGGTACCGAGTCCGACAGTCAGACTGGGCTCCGGGTGTCGGACAGGGACCCATACCCGGCCCAATGGTGGAGAGATCGGCTCCTAGTCCGTAAATGACCCGGACTCCCAGCCCCATCGACGGTGACGAAGAGGGCAGAATCCCTCCACAGGCGGCGGCCGCTGCCGCAGCGGCACACATCATCGTTTAGGAGCACAATGCATAAATGAATCACGCAAAACAGAAAGCCGCTAAATCACGTCCGGCCATCGGGTACAATCTGGATATTGTTAAATCCACCGCGCACCTATAACGTGCCCCTTTTAACGTTGCGGAAAATGGCACAAATTTTATCCGGGATCGGCGCTTGTTATCAGGGCTAATTCAGCAACCGAGGTCCTCCTCCTCTCTCCCCTCCTCCTCCTCCTCCTCCTCCTCCCCCCGTGCGTCTCTTCCTCGAGCTACAAGAACATTCCCGATAAAATGTCCAAAATATCAGGAGTATTCGTTATGTTGGGGATTCGTTGCCATTTGTCCCTCGGAAATGCGTTGACCCCCGAGCGGCTGCACCCTCAGACGGTCTGCCATCTTAGCTCCATCATCCCTCCCCTCCCCTTCCCTGCACCGTGTGCTGCGTCGCTTCGCCCGCACGCCGCCGGAACACGTTCATTATTGTGATTATTATTAGCCTCCAGGAACATTATCATCATCCAGTGGCATTTATACTATGTAGTATGCTTGCGGATAATAATAATTCCTTTGGAACATATAGAGGAAAGACTCCGAGATTTTCCCCTATGATTGGCATTGTAATTTCAAACGATGTTATTGTCTGTCTGCTCTGTCCACTCTGGAAAGCATAAGAAACCCCCCAAAACGACAAGACATTTTGGTATTTATGACAATTTTTGAGTCACATATGTTTTCAGTTAATGGAATAAAAACAAAAATGTCATTCTCAAATAGAAATTCAATTCCAATGAAGTTTGGAGGTTGGCGTTAAACATAAATAAAAACAGAATACAATGATTTTCAAATTATGTTCAACCTATATTTAATTGAATACACGACAAAGACAACATATTTAATGTTCAAACTGATAAATGTGTTTTGAAAGAATAATCATTCGTTTAGAATAGCATTGCGTCAAAACATTCGAAAAAAACTGGAACAGGGTCATGTTAACCACTTTGTTACATCACTTTTCTTTTTACAGCATTCAATAAACGTTTGGGAGGTAAGGACACTTATTGTTGAAGCTTTGTCGGTGGAATTCTTTCCCATTTTTGTAATTTAATCTGTTAATCTGTTCAACAGTCCACAGTCTCCGATATCGTATTTCACGCTTCATAATGCGCAGAACAGTTTCGATGGGAGACACGTCTGGACTGCAGGCAGGCAAGTCTAGTGTCCACACTCATTGACTATGAAGCCATGCTGTTATAACACATGCAAAATGTGGTTTGACATTGTCTTGCAGAAATATGCATGCGCGTCCATGAAAAAGACATTGCTTGAATGCCAGCATATGTTTCTCCAAAACCTGTATGTACCTTTCAGCATGAATGGTGCCTTCACAGATGCCTAAGTTACCCATGCCTTTGGCACTAACACAGCTCCACATCATCACAGATGGTTTCTTTTGAACTTTGCGTCCATAACAGTGCAGATGGTTCTTTTCCGCGTTGGCTCAGAAGGCACAAGGTCCACAATTTCCCAAAACAATTTGAAATGTGGACTCGTCAGATCACAGAACACGTTTGCACTTTGCATCAGTCCATCTTCGCCAGCGGCTTTTCTGGGTGTTGGTAAATGCGTAGTTGAGTTTTAAGTTGCACTTACAAATGTAGCGCCAAATTGTGTTTGCTGACATTGTTTTTCTGAAGTGATCCTGAGCCTGTGTGGTGATATCCTTTCCACATTGATATCGATTTTTGATGCAGTGCCCCCTAAGGGATCGAAGGTCAAGGGCATTCAACGTTGAGGACAAGCAATATAGAAAATGGATGGATAGAACCGCCTCGCACATTTCAAAAGAAATTAGAAAGTGTAAAATAAAAACTGAAAAAAATGACATGAAATAAAACTACTCACCCTTAAAGCCGCTTAACAGATGTGTAACAGAAAGGGAACTGAAAGGGTTTTTCAGAGCAATGCTGTCACCTTGTGGAGTTTCATTAGCTGGTTAGGTATTAGTATGTGTTGTGTTTTACAAATGTATCAGGATTAGGAACATTTATTGTGTTGTTCGTATTGTTCTGCATAACCACATCCTGCCCTTTGTCACAGCAATGTTTTCTCCGGGTGACATCACCAAAAAAAAAAAAAAAAAAAAATCAAAGAAATATAAAACCCCTCTTAAGGTGTTCAGCCATGATCAAATGCTCACTGAGGTGAATTCTTTCTGACGAGATTTACTGACTTTACAGATGGTGATGGTTTGAACTGCAAGATTCGTTCAACCTTTGAGGCATACCTTTCCAGAAAATGTCTTTTGAACACCAAATTCTAACGCTTTTGCAGCACCAACTTAATTGCTTGTTTTTTTCTGTTTTGTTTTGTTTTTGTTTGTTTGTATTATACAGTGTTGCACAGCCATTTATGTTATGCTGCACGAGCACCGCCTAGTGTACATCATTTGTGCATTCCGGGTGGCCAGAGAATGCTCTGTGTTTTGATGAGCTGAATGCACAAGACAGTTCTGAATAAATTTATTAGACCACATCATAAAAACGAGAAGAACAGCCGGCATCATGAAGTGTATTCATGCGGATTCTGTCAATTTCACTGAGCTCTCCTCACTTTGGTAATTTGAACAAGAATCAGAAAGTTCAAATTTGAGTTCACCTTTTTATACCTAGATTTTAGCCATCAGAAATAAATCAACCAGAACTTATGTTCAGGGGACAAGGAGGCTTAAATAACTAGAATTTGACATTTTAGGAAACACTGTGCTTGACTATTTTTTTGTTAATTCTTTGTAAAACTGTATCTTAACAATTTAATAGATACGTTGATAATATTTGTTTCCGCATTAGAAATATCATATCGTTCAAAGAGCTTCTACATAAAGCCGGCCCTACCCAATGTGGCAATGTAGGTGAGATTTTTTTCATCACACCTGGCTCCATTTGCCATTTACACGTGCTAACAAAAGAAACTGAATAGTGTTGTTGGGTTTTTTAACATTACCTTTAATTTATAAGGTAACATGTTTTACTCTTTGCTAAGATCTATATAGGACATTTACTCATCAGAATCGCAAATATTTTGACCGATAATTGTTTTCTCAGTTGTCAAAAGTACAGTCCTGCTATGATCACAATGAGAAAAGCAACCCTGACCATGAGTTGGAATTTTTTTTTTTGTTGCCAAACATGTACATGCTTCATTATTTCCTCTCTGATAACTATTTCAATGGCTTGACCTAGCATAACAAAACACAATAGCAAGCTCATTGCTGGGTAGTCTGCATTCCTGTCATTGCAACCGAGGCTTGCCTATCAGCATCGTGTTGTCACACCCTTCTATGCTATGAGCCGTTCATACTTTTAATCATTCAAGTAGTGACAGTCCCGTAGCAGAAAAAAGACACTTTAGATTACAAACTTGTGCAGTAACATGTTGAGGGTGTTCCCTTGGTAAAACATAATTTTAAAACATAAGGAAACCTTTTCCAGTTTTTGGGAGGCACAACAGATTCATCAGTTTGTTTGTTTTTTCCACGTTTCAGCTAAAGTTTAGACTGCAGTTTGCTCCAGTGCCCGGTAATCCTGTGATTATGTAATTGTGACTGACGGGGATACTGTAGTTGTTTTGCCATCAAGATGTATCCCACTATTATCCAGTTACTCTAATATATATTTTTATTTTTATTTCATTTGATTCACAAATCCAATCTTGTACCACAGTAAATCTTGTTTGTGAAGATTCTTTAGATGTCCATTTATGATTAAAATCCAACATAAATAATCTATTTTTTTGGCATGGCTTTAGATCAGTGTTTTCTAACCTTTACTGAGCCACGGAATATGTTCTACATTACAAAAAATTCTGCCATCGTGTAGAATTTCCCACTCCTGATGATCTCTTCTGATGATACATTAATTTGCTGCGTCACAGTTGTTGGGAATCACTGATTTAGATAACACGTGTACCTAATATTCTGGCCTGTAGTGTACCCATTGACGTTGGACTTGACTTGTGAGGCGCAACTGTTGTAAAAGTGCAAAGTCCCCCTGTGATTTATTAAAGGAACAGTCATCCAATGCGGGGTAAAGCTGACTAGAAAACAAGCTGATTTGAAAAGATCGATCTACATTTTACACATTTTTAGTGACGTGTTGACATGCACTCCCACACCCACTGGGTGCCTGTCTGACGCCTAAGTTGACTTGCAGGTCCTTCCATGGGCTCCACCTTAATTCCAGCCGCGTCTCAGCGGGCTCGGCGGCTGATAAACTTGCTCAATTCCGACTACCAGCCGACAGCAGACTCACTCTTCTCCTTTAGTGAGGCCCCGCCTGCCCCACGGTGACCTTGCACTCCCCTCCCCTTGGGTTAAAAACCGCTTTGACAAGGGTGTAATTGCACACTGCAGTGTAGTATACAGGTGTTAAGGCAGGATTTTGAGCTGCAATTCGGTTCCGCCCTGCTTGGAACTCACGACTTTCCACAGAGGTACGCACTTTCCTTTACTTCGATTAACTATGACCTCCAAAAGTATCAAATATTGAGTTACTGTTTTATGTCAACCCTCAGTTGATGAGTGAAACAAAACTAAGCTGCGTCGAGCTAGTTTGACTTCTTTGCGTGATTTTAATGCAGTAATTTAGAACAAATATTGAGTAATGAAATCCATGCCAGATTTATTTGCTCGTATTGTTCATTAGCCCACACATAGCATAGAGGGATAGAGTTATTAAGGTGGCTGTCAATTCACAGGAGTCAATGAGACGCTTTAAACAAGGGCAGGAAGGTTTTTCGTCAACCGGGTGTTGACTAAATTCATGAAGAAATAAAAAAGATCTCTATCCTCCTTTAGGGAACATTTTAACATTTCTAACTGTCACATATGTGTAAAAAAATAACCTAATGTATAATACAACTAAAATAAAGTAAAACTACGCTGAAAAAAATGGTGTGCTGAATTTACTCAATTTTATTTTGTATGGTTTTCATCAGTTTTTTTCAGTAGATGTATAATCTACTTTAAAATTATACCTGAATCCAGATGATTTTATTTCATGCAACCACTTGACCAAATAAAAATTAGTTCAACAAAAACTTGTTTTCAGTGTACTCACCCATTGAATATGTCGCTAACAAGTAATTATTAGATTACTTTTTAATTACAGTCCTACCTTACCATTGAAGTTTGATGCGTTATGGCGTCAAATGTTTTTGGGATTGGGGGGTTTAGGGGAGACTGCTTAAACTCCACGGACCATAGGTTGCACACCCCTGATACAAGCATGCAAATGAATGGCCAGGTAAAATTCTCACTTTAAAAAAATGCAGAAAGCGGTCAAGAAAATGTCAGGAATGACTCGTCACCCATCTGTTCTACTATGTATTACTCTGTGTTTATCGAGGGTGTGTGTTGCATGTAACGTGGGGGTGTGTTCGTGTGGGCTGAGATCCAGACAAACCAGTTTTAAAGAGGCAGCACCTGTCTTCAACACACAGCATCTCGAGTGTTACCAGGCGAGGCATAGTACAGATCAGTACAGTTGTAGAGTCTTTGAGCAGCTCAGCCCACAGTGACATCTAGTGGCCATAAACGGTAGTGTTTGTGTCGCTTTTGAAAATGTTTTCCTCTTTACAGCACGGACAGTTGAAAATATGAACAATACCAACCTGAGCTATCAAATGTGTGAGCATCCATATGCATGTTCATTATTATTATTAGTAGTAGTAGTAATAGTAGTAGTAGTAGTAGTAGTAGTAGTAATAGCAGGAGTAGTCGAAGTAGTAGTAGTAGTAGTCGTAGTATGTGACTATTGTCAGAATGCATAGACGTGAATGTATTTGTTTGAATTATTCTATTATGCACATAATAATGTCTTATCATAAATAGAGTTATTTGATTCATTTTATTATGAGTGCATTTTTTTCAAATTTATTATATTAAGGTAACTATGATTGTTGTTTATTATTTGCCTTTATTATGTGTGTGTGTGTGTGTGTGTGTGTGTGTGTGTGTGTGTGTGTGTAATTTTTTTTCTTTTTTTTCATCATTGTTACTGCAGTTTTTGCATACTGAGACCTTTGTCTATATTTTGACTTGCATGTCAATGAGGTAACAAAAACATGAAGACACAGTGCAATTCTACTTCATCATATTATTATGTCATAAATATAATACTTCTTCACTTGGAACCATTTTGAGGAGGCCATTTTAAACGTGAGCATTATTATCTTTTCAAAGCCAAGAGTGTCCGCACCATGTCTTCCTCTCTGCTAAAAGACGACAGTTGGATCAGAAGAGACGAGGATGAGTACGAAGCTGTTGAGTGAGTGCAATTATTACATAACTCAAACATGGAGAGAGAGAAAAAGGAACGCACATCCGAAAGGAAGCAGACTATTTTGGGTGGGACTTCATTATGCTTTTCATTTGTTGTCCTCTTCTTCTTCGACAGCCGAGATCCAAACTTTGGCTCATCTGTCCTCACCCACTACAGATCCACCGATAGTTTAAACAGGTAGAATGTTTTTTTTTCCCTTTTTACCGGGCTTGACTTTTTGGGGTGACTTTTAAAATGAGCATTTCAACAGTCCTAACTGTTGCACAAGTGTGAAAAAAATAAGTTGACCACTGTATTTAAATAAATTACATTTTTAAAAGTCACCCTTTTAAATGCCGGAGTGGGCCACAATTTTTCGGCAGTGCTACTTGGGAGACACATAGGACCACACACTTCCTAACAAGATGGATGACAAAAATGCTATTATTTGAAACACACAACAAATAACCATGTACCGTGATTTTTTTTTCCAGTGCAAAAGGCTCTCATACATAAAAATTACAAATCAAGGACAGCATAAAACTACTGAACAGCAAATCAACTTTTTTCACGAAAATCAGATCACTCAAAATTATAATATTATCAAGGTATGTTTGTCATGCATATCATTCCAAATCCACACAAAAAAACAAAACAAAATAAAAACGCATACGTTGGAGTACAGGCCAGTATGAGACCCTCTTTTTTCCCCCCATTGTGTTGGAAATTATGAGCTCATTTTATTCAATTTTTTACAAAGTTATCGTTTTATTATTTTTTTGCATGTTGCTTACAGCCCTGTGGCAGAAAATAAACAAATTGCCAGGTCAACGTCTGTACAGGCTCTCAGCAAGAGGTAAAAATCTGGTGCTGCAGGTTCTCATTTATTTTCTTTCTTTTTCTTTCTTTTTTTTTTTTTTTGCATTTTCAGGCGTTTGCGGGGATTTTGTTTCATTTCATGACATGCCAAAAACTGGCATTGGTTCAACCCTGAGACTATTAAAAACTAAATAACACTGAATTAAATCATCCCAACTAACAAGGTGAAATTGTAGCATACAGTTGTGATATGAACCACTAATTGTCATTTCTGCTGTCGTAGATTCAGCGGGAGTCAGGATGAGCTGCCAACCAGGTTTGTGTCCAATTTTTTTTTTTTTAATTTAAATGCTCACGAAAAGCACCGCAAGGCCTTTTAATGACTGCCTTTCTGCCTTTTCATACGCAGCTCCTACACCAAGTCCCGAGTCTCCTACACTCAGAGGTAGATTTTCCTGAGAAAAAACACTCAATCAAGCAAGTTGTTTTGAAAAGAAGCGACGCAGTTGTCGAATATTCAAATATCCAGCATATATTCCGATCTCCGGCCCCTTAAAGCAAATGACAGATATTAATGTGTCTCCTCCAGCTCCCCTTCCTACAGGAGAACCGATGAACCCAATTCAAGGTGCACCAGCAACAGTCATTCGTACATCCACATCATCCAAACATAACACTAGAAAATATCCTTTGTGAAACTTTGTGTCCTGTCCTTCAGCACCACCACCACCACAGTGAGCAAGGATGGCAAAATCACCGAAACCACAATCACCAGCCAGAGTCTTAGGTAGAGAGTGACCCATCATATCATTGGATTGTTATGAGTTAGATAACAACAATGGGTTTTTTTCTGTTGTTTGTTTTATTTGCAGAAAAAGTCCCTCCAAGACTTCGACATTCAGTGAGCGGGTGCAGTCCTTCAGCAAAGGGTAAAAGCCAATAAAAAAAGTCATATATGTTCTTACGGCATCAAAAACATTTTTTAACCCTTTCTGCGGTTACTACAGTGGACAGTTTACCATGTTCTCAGGTTACAGGGTGCATGAAAGGGTTAAATAATTGTTTTTGGTTGACGTCCAATTTAAAACATTTCGGAAACTGCTTTTCCTATGAGGAACAAATGGAAATACAAATGACCTGTTCCACAGTGAAACTATTTCCAGTACATTCAAAGCCGAACTGGGGATCAAAAATATAGCCCCACGGAGAAGGCCATATACGGCTGTGTTTTTTTTTTCAGTTAACATTTTCAACAGTCTTATAATATTTGTTGTCTTATTTCAGCCTTTTTCCCCCTAAAATTGGTCAGACTCTTTTTCTATTCATGTTTCATTTTTTTATCTTCAGTAACTCTTGACACAAGTTCATCACACAAACATGACACATTATCTACAATTTTGAATGATAAATCATGAACAGTTCGAGATAGTAGTCCACCACATTTGACATCAAACATAGGAAAAGTGACTAAATTAAATATGAGTTTGAACCTCAATGTATTTTTTTTAAAGCAGCCAATGTAATAATTTCAGCTTGTTGGTATGGCAACTCCACATGATTGTGGACGACACATAAGCCAAATTTGGACATCCATTTCATAAAGTCAAAATATCATGAGATTAAAAATAAATATTCGTAATCATTCATCTGTATTTCATAATTATTACCGTTAGTCGGGCAAAATAAAGCCGTTAAATGTATAGTTCAATACGGTTATATTAACCGTTTCAAGGACTATGGTTACTACGGTGAACGGCTTATATTGTGATCAGGTTACATGTTATCATTATCGGTGTATGGAAGGGTTAAACTAGTGATATAAAAAAATAGTAATGCATATAAGTAAATAAATATGCATGTGTATATAACTCTCCGCAAATTACAAGGGTTTTGTTATGTTTTTTGTTGTTTTTTTTTTTTGTTGTTTTTTTTGTATGTCGTCAGTGCTGAGGACAAACTGTATGATACGCTCATCCCCAATGCGATCAAAGATGAAACTGGAGACAGGTCAGACATTCATCCGCCAGTTACATTGAAGAAATGGGTTCGATGGGTTATTGGTGGAAGTAGTGACAAATGACGTAAAAACGTCATTATTTTCCCTACAGCAGAACAAGGCTCTCCAGCAGCGAGACTAGGACTTTGACAAGAAGCATTAACGGGTTAAGTCTTGTGTTTACTCAGCGAAATGAAAACGAAACCGGATTGTACATGTACGTGAACATTGTCATCCGTCGGCAGGCCTGAAGATGAGCTGTACGACACCCTGCTGGCAAAGGGCATCTCCTCCGCTCAGTCATCTTCATCTTACAGGTGAGGCGACATCCGCGGTTAACCGATAAGCCCGCCATCCCATAATCGACACCTCGGCAATATTCTTGTGTCTTTGTGTCAGCACCTCGAGCGTGACGAAGAGAGAGATAGTGACGATGGAGAGTAGCGTCGCACCGCTAACCACATCCTACACCAGGTAAACATATAATTCAAGCTTTGTTTTTGTTTTAGTTTTAGTTTTTTTTGTGTGTTGTTGCATTAATGAATTTCTCTGATAATTCTTTTAAGCCTTTGGCCATTATTATGATGGGTTACATCTAAGATTTCTGAAAGGGCTGGGTTTATAAAAAAATCAACTAATCCTCTTGACTCGATATTCCCGCTATGGATTCTTCAAACCATAAATGGATCCTTTCAGTCTTTTTTCCATAAATTGATGGTGGAATCAGTAAAATTTGAGGGAGGGTTAAAAAAAAAAAATACGAAGACAGCCATGAACTGGAACTGTGAGACAGTCAGGCACGTCGATGTCACGAGTTTGCAGTGTGTTTTCACCACTTCATTTACACAGCCTGCTTCGTGTTTGGAATTGATTTAAATTATTATTTATTGTTTGGATCAGGTCATGTGGTTGTTTTAAGGTGCGCCATCTATAAATACAGTTGCGTTGAGTTGAGATGTTCAATAAAACAACATTTATTAATTTATTGTGTTGTATTGGATTCAATTCTGAATGTAAATATTCCTATTTCTACTAATGTACCAAGTTAGAGCAAGGCCTTTTTACTATTTGCAGCATTGCTTCTTCTGAGAAGCTCTTCCAAGTAAAATTGGCACTGCGTGAAATCCTTCACTGAATCGAAAATCTAAGTGAATCACAAATTCTCTTAAATTTTCGATACCTGGGCCCACTTTTTAAATTTTATGTATGACTGGTATTCCTCATGTGAGTGCTGATCTTCTCATAGAAACTCCTTTGGCTTTCTTTACACCAATAAATGGCTCAACCATACTTTCCTCTCTGCCATGCAGCCGCTCTTACACTGATGAAATTCCGAGCGCCCGCGTCACCTCCTACAGTGTCAGCAACAACCTGCCCAGGTACACACACGCACACGCACGCACACACATATACATTATATTTGTTCGCTAATCTGCTGTGTTTCTGTGCCCACAGTGACGACTACAGCAGCAAAAGCGGCAGCTACTACTACAGCTCCTCCACCTCAACCTCGTCCAAGCCCACCTACGAATACACCAGTATCAGCGGCCCCACTGAATATAGTTCCACCACATACAGGAGGTACATGCATGCGGGATGAACACGAATGCTCACTTACAGATCTAAAAAGAAGAACAATTATAATAATACTGTTAGTCTTATCGCAGCACCAGCTTGTCTGACAAGATGCTCTCGAATCCCACGACGTCCGTCAAGACCGTCTACACCAGTCCTGACAGGTTAGGAAAGCGCTTCAGGTTGAGGTTTCAATGCTTTTCGTCCATTTAAATTGACTTCAGTTGAACTTACATAATGGTCATAAACATAGGACAACCCTGGAAAGGGAACTTTGCACTTACTGCCACAAGCCCTTCAATGGTGATGCCAAGATGATCCTGGATGAAATGAAGATCAGCTGCCATACTTTCTGCTTCAAGGTGATTTTTTTTTTTTTTAAATGACATACGTTGCCACTTTTTAACCATCCTATTTTAACACAGGCTACTTAAGGCAAGAGGCAAGGGCTGAAAGAATTTTATTTTAGGAAATAAAACAAACATAATGATTGAGTCTGATTCCATACAGCAACTAAAATTTCATACGGATGGGTTTCAATTACACACAGAGAACCTGATGCATGTCATTTCATTGTGCGCAGTGTGAGGTGTGCAATGGCACTCTGGGCCACCTGAAAGCTGGCGACTGCATGTGGGTGTACAACCACATGGTGCATTGCCAGAACTGCTTTGACGTGACCAGAGGTAAGAAACACATCTTAAAGCTTTTAATACAAGGGAAAGGCAAATAAGCAACAAACAAAATCAATATTCCATCCCGCAGAGAAATGGCGCCACTGACTTCGCATCTCAACCTCCACGCTAAATAAAAAAAGCAAGTGATTCAATATTTTATTTTATTTTTTAATGTGAGGGGGGTCATATGGGTTCTGTTGCATAAATATTTGTATTAATTCTGGGGTTTTGGATGATCATAAAGAATGGACGGACCTGTGTAGCACATAACACAGCAGACAATTGCAATAGATATGTTCAATATATTATCTCTAATATTCTCTGAAGGCTTTTAAGGGACTCTTGGTTTGCAATCTGATAACAATACTGTGATGTGGATGGCCGGGGTTGTTATTCCTGTGTGCAATAAAAGCAATCACTGTATTGACATCAAGCTAGTGTCTCATTGTCATTCGTACACTAAATGCGACGTAACTACAAACAGATACACAACGAACATATTGTAATGCCCCCACAAGGATTGATAGAGACTTTCAATAGCTTTATTCAACAAAAAGTCACAGTTGAAAGGCACCCACACTCAGAGTCACAGATGCTACAGTGTCGAACATGAGGACGGCAACCACAAGTGGACAAAAATAAGTTGACAACATTGCTTGGTGCCTGTGGACCCCACGCTGGTGACCCCTTGTCTCACATTATGAAACGATAAGATTGTCTTCGAAAATGCACCCCGCCCACCCTCACCCCCCCCAAAAAAAGAAACACTTCCTGGCCATGTGGCGTCCAGGAAGCTGCTGACCAATCAGGGGACAGCTTGTAAGTCATGCCAGCATCAGCATCCTCCGCGCATGTGTGTGTGAGTGCGAGCGAATGCGTGTGTATGAGAGTGCGTGTTGCGTGTTCAAATCGCGGAGGTGGGCCGCCTCCATCCGAATTAAACCAAGGACTCTTAAGGGTTCCGGTATCGAAAACTTGACGCGAGCGCGGCCGTCTCTCCATGTGCTCGGCGGCGGCAAATGGACGCCGAGGTGCTACTGGGCCCCCCCGTGATGGCGGACGTGAACGGCAACAATAAGCTGGCCAACGCCGAGCTGGAGGTGCTCAAACTGCAGGAGCTCGTCCGCAAGCTGGAGAAGCAAAACGAGCAGCTGCGGAGCAGGGCCAATGCGGTCAACAATTGTCCCGTCGCCTCCCGCCATCACCATCCCCTCCACAACCACCTCCATCTCCAGACGGGCTCCCCGCCCGCTTGCTTGGCCCCAGCCAGGGAGCCTTTCCCGGCTAAGTGTGAGAGCGTGTGCCCCCGGGAGCCCTTCGCCTATTTTCAGCCCAGTTCGTCGTCGCCCGATTCCGCCGAGGAGGAGGAAAACGAGGAGGAGGATGGAGCCACGACGGTTCTGGATGAGGTTGACGTACTGGACCTTAACACCGTCCTCACGGTCTCAGAACCGGATAGCTGGTAATACGCTTTTTAATTACTATGAGTTACGATGTCTCATTGTGTTTTCATGCTTTTGGTATGAAGAATGAAGAAACAACGTTTTTTTCCCCAAGTGGTTGAAATGAAAGATTCCCAAATGCAAACAATAGGGCTCAAATTAGGCCACTTTAGAAATCAACTATTCATCCATCTGAGAGACATTTCGAACTTCAAACCACCACTACCTTACACCGCCCTACTATACGTTATTTTTCTTATAATACAGATGTGCTCCTTAGATTACATACCCTGGCAGAATTTGTAAAATGTCCAAAACACATTCATTTTATTTACAAATGAAACGTATATGCAGTTCAGAATATCAAAGCGTAGCACTATAGACAACAATGACGTGGTGGTACTGTTCAGTCATATTTTTTTTTTTAAAAAAATCATCATAATTTCACACATTTTGCCAGGGTATGTAAATTCTTGAGCCCAAATCTTGTATATTATGTTGTGACGTTATTTGTAGTTTGAGTTGTTTAAAATATATACAACCTCAAATACAGTTGTAGAGGATCCTCCTATAATAAATACACTGTACAGCGAGTACAGTGTATGTACGAGTATGCAGTTGCATAAATGAATGCTTTTAAACAAAGAGGTATAATAAAACACCCCCCCCAATAAATACCTTACCCCAAATAGATGCCTGGTTGGGAGGGAAGGCCTCCAGACTAGTAAATGCTTTAGCACTAATATGCTCTTCAATAATAATTCATAAACACAGATGTCACCGATTTCAGAAAATACCGTACGTTAATGTAAAAGTACAGTTAAAGGCATTCTACTTAATAAATGCCTTACCCCTCATAGACACTTGGTAGCATTGACTAAATAAGGACCTTGGGTTTATAAATGGGGAAATGTGATGTGTCTAAAATTTTTTGACAGATGCTACTATTTACACATGGATTCAAGAGTTAACTAGCCCATTTGAACTCTGCTGCGAGCCAAAACAGCAGCCCCTATGAAGCACATATACATGCAGTCCCACCGATGAATTCAAGTGTGAATAATAAACACATTCACTGCCCAAAATGAGTGATGATATTACGTAATGTGGAGAGGGCGTTGAGTGCACTTTTTTTCCCTCCTAAGATTTAAGAGATCCTTCCCAGTATGCACTTGCAGACGTGAGAGCGATGATATGGATTTTGGAAGCAGGCCGTTTTTTTCTTTCTTTTTTTTTTTTTTTCTTTTTTTTGGGGGGGGGGTACGCCATGACAACGCCGACTGTTACTCATGTGTGATGTGATGATGTGAAAAGTGGAGCATGGTGAAAATGGACGCGGCTATGACAAGAGGCAACATTGAGCTGCTTGCCTCGCCGCCGTCCTCCATTTAGAAGACAAGCGATGGCCTCGTGGAGGCGTCTGACTGTGACCTAGATGCTATTATGACGGGTTGGCGTCATTTGAGATGCACTCTTATTGAACTCTGCATATTGGTGAAGAGTCAGATCAGGGTATTAATAATTTGTAAGGAAAAAAAATTAAACAACAGCCACACTTGTGGGCTGCTCAATAAGCAGAGATTTGTGAAAAAGAGATGAATTTTACCAAATTAGGCCAGCGATTATATAAGTCAAATGTAGACACCATATATTTTGCTTCGCAGCTACAAAAATGTACTTAAATGAAGGCCTGTATCCAATAAACCGGAAAAGATGCCAGGACTCCCTCCAGTTGAGTAAATAAATGCCACCTACCATTATATCAAGACATACATTATTTTTTAAAAAATTATGTTTTCCATAAATAAATTCATCCCCCAATTAACACACAGTACTCTCTGCTGTTGAATATAAAAACACCTACTATATTAATATTTTTTACAATGTATTTATTTTTATTAAATAAGCTTTTATTTGAAGCAGTGGTGCCCAATAAACACTTTACAGTGAGTAAAAAAATAAAAATGCCCCAGACCACTATATTAGCAAATGTGGTTTTATTTTGAAATGCAGTTTAACAAATAAATTCCCCATGCCTCCGGCACCGGCATGAGGAAATATGTTCAAATAAAATGTTTTGTGTACATATAAGCAAAGGCCTCGGATCAGTTCCCCTTGATTGAAGATTCCACTGTACCATTATACTGGGTGAGGAAATTCATTATTTTGTATGACAAAAAAGAAAAAAGGTTTGGCCATATTAAGGTCTCCTCCCAATAAATACCTCTCCCTTAATCGACACTCATTTCTCAATAAAGACTTTCAGACACTTTATTAGCATTTTAGCTTTTCTAAGGCTCTATTTCATTTGCATGGATAAAACATCAATAGATTTACCTTGTAAAAATAATATGATGTCTTATTTTCTCGATCCATTTTAGGCCTGGCGCATCATGCCAATGAATCGTACGATGACATGAATGAGCCAAAAGGGGAGGATGAACCCTTAAAGGCTCCCCCGCTTTTATATGCTATTTAAAAGGTGGCCCAG